GATAGATAGATAGATAGATAGATAGATAGATAGATAGATAGATAGATAGATAGATGGATGGATAGATAGACAGATAGACAGATAGATAGATAGATAGTCAGATATATAAGACGAACTAATTAAAAAATGTTAAGATTACATCAACTTTGGATTGATCCACGAGTGAAACGTTATGTGGATATCCCAGAACATCAACAGACACAGATTCATCATCGACATACAAAGATTCATCACCAACATACAAAGATTCGTCATCGACATACAAAGATTTATCATCAACATACAAGATTCATGGTCGACATACAACGATTCATTATCAACATACAAAGATTACTTATCAGCATTCAAAGAATCGTCATCAAAGAGCAAATATACAAAGATTCATCATCATACAAAGAACCATCGTCAACATACCAAGATTCATCGTCAACAAACAAAGAACCATCGTCAACGTACAAAGCTTCACTAACATACAAAGATTCATCAACATACAAAGATTCGTTATCAACATTCAAAGATTCGTTATCAGCATACACAGATTCGTCATCAACAACAAATATACAAAGATTTTTCACCAACATACAAAGATTCATCATCAATATACAAATAACATACATAGATTCATTATCAACATACAAAAGATTCATCATCAACATACAAAGGTTCTTCAACATGCAAAGACTTACCATCAGCATAAAATATTCATCATCAACATTCATCATCAACATACAAAAGAATCATCATCAACATACAAAGATTCGTCATCAACATACAAAATATTCGTCATTAACATACAAAGATTCATGATCAACACAGAAATGCACACATTACAATCATGCACAAAGATGCACGTACGAAAATGCACAGTTCACTCACACAAATGTACTAAAACAGAAAATGTATATATATTTTTCCCTCACTCACTCACTTAATACACACATGCATACACACACATACTCACATAAACACGCATACACACATATACACAAATACACACATACACTCATATAAAAACATACACATACACACATATACAAACACACACACAAACACACACACACACACACACACACACACACACACACACACACACACACACACGCATACACACACACATACACTCACCATCTTCACTGGTTTTGCTGTCGACTTGTATTTTTGAATTACAGATACCTGTGCACGCACCAAATGTCCAGTTTGTCAATCCAACGCGATTTTGTATTTGCAATTTCAATTTGGGCTTGTTACGTTTATTCTTACATGCACAATTTTTGCACACTTTGTGGTGACTGTCATTTTCACTTTTTGTGGCGTGTGTGTGTTATTGGAAACTTTGTGTAATATTTAATATTTATGTGTGTGTATATACATACAATCTATAAATGAAGGGTTATGACCAATCTCATATTTGTTTTCATCGGGTTTTTTCTTTAGATGGCATGTTCTCTCGTGAAGTCATTTCCTTGATTGAAATAATAATGATAATGTATAGCACTCTTAAGGTGCATCTGTTCAACAGCAAGTTCTATATAGTTTTACACCGGGCCAGCACTGGCGTTTCAGAGGCCTTAAAAGGACTTTAAAAATGTAAAATCTGAATGTTGTGTTTGTTGAAATGAACGAGTCTTTTGTGAATCAGAGATTTGGAATAATCATTTAACTTTTCTTGGCATTTCTTTACAGTATTGTTATGAAAGTGCAATAAGGTCAGAAGAGTGATGTCATTTTTTTTGGGTGTGATTTTCCACAGACCAGGTTATAGATTCTCATGTTGTTTATCTTTAGTTTATTCTATTCCAAAAGTATGGTCAAACACTAATATGATATTAATCGATTTTCTTTATTTGAGTCTCTTATTTTAAGATAACACGAATGAAAATCAGGTACAACAGAATTTGAAAGTTAAAACTGCTTTGATTATTTAAGGCCATGAATTTCATTAAGGGGAAGTCTAGTGAAACTTTGCAAGAACTTCCTTGACTAGCGAGCTCTATCTTACTTGCTAACTAGTACCCTTATGACATACATTGTTGCAGTCTATTACGCAACGTATTTCGCTGTGAAAATTCTCAATACCAAGTTTAAAAAATGAAACAAAACGTAATGGAATGTTCTCATTCTTCAAAGGATTTACAAGGCCACCTGTGACGCAGGCAGTCTACGTCAATACCATACCGGAATTCATAGAAGCACGAAAATTCCCAGAGATCTCTTGTATACGAACCTTCGACATGAGCGGCCGGAGAGACCAGCTGCTGGACACGCCACTGAAGAGGGCAAACTTCCTTTCAGGCTTGAGGGGCGACAAGTTGACAGTTTTCGGGCAGATCACTGGGAATCCTGGTAATGGCAGCAGTGAACGTTTTTAAAAATATTTTTAGGCCTTTGAAAAATATGAAATTTCTTCTTTTTTCAATGAGATGTGAGGTATGTGGGGAGAAAAGGGAGGGAACCCCGGGTATGATGTTACGGAGGAAGAGGAAAGGGAGGAGAAGGAGGAGGAGGAGGAAGAGGAGAAAAGGGAGAAGGAAGAGGGGAAGAGGGAGGAAGAAGAAATGGAGGAGGGGGAGGAGGAGGAGGAGGAGG